TTCTTACTACATCCTCCATCCAGACTTTCTCAGATATGTGCGTAACAGGTAAGAGCTGAAATTTCCATACACTCATATATTCAGAGCTTGAACTTATCAGTTCATTATTTGTTGATGGCCATGTCTTACATTTTTTCATTTTAGGTTTCTTAAGGCAAAACAATTGAAAACAAAAAGATGGTGGCTAGTCAGGCCAACTAATGGAGCATTTACTCTTCTGCTGGCTATGCACACATGTGACATTGTAAGTGTTACTGTAGTAATAATAGTAACAATAATAATAATAATTCAGGTATCAGATAGTTCTGATTTTATCAGATGAACTGACACCTGGGCTTATAGTTTTATAATAATGCCATGTTTTTTTTCTGGTATCTTGCAGGTGAGAGCCTATGGTTTTAGCACAGCTGACTATCAGAAATATCCAAACTACTACTATGACAACAAACACACTAAACTAGTGTTTTATGCTAATCATGATTATCGTTTGGAGATGAGAACCTGGAAGAAATTTCATGATGACAAATTTATCTGGATGTATTTGGGAAAATCTGATATCTAAACACAATCAGGGTTTCTTACAAGAAAATCATCATCTTTGAAATGACCCAAAACATTACTAGACAAAAATGTGGTTGAGTCAGTGTTTTTTTTTCACAATCAGAAAGTGTAAATTGTTGCAAATGTGTTTTTTTTTTTTTTAACATTTTTGTATTGTTAGTTGTGTATTTATATTCTGGAATAAACGATTAATTATTGCATTGCAACTCTAGAGAAGAGAAATTTTACTCCATTTTTGGAAGACAAGGATTATGTTGCACACTGATATTATCAGTGTCTTTTTCCAAATAATTTCTGCGTATTGTGACATTAAGGGACACAATCAGTAGATGCCAAATTAACAACAAGTTCAGGGGTGTCAAACTCAATTCCTGAAGGGCCAGAGCCCTTGAAAGTTTTGTTCCAAATAATAAATTTTCAAATAAGCCTGAATGACTTGATTAGTTGAATCAGATGTGTTTAATTAGGGTGAAATCTCAATTTTGCAGGGCCCGGGCCCTCCAGGAATTGAGTTTGACAACCCTGAACTAGTTTATGGTTACCGCCAAGAGCTCCCAAGTCACTACAGTGTCCAGGCACCAGATGTCGCACTAACTTTAGAAACTACAACGAATTAACATGGGAGTCCCAGATGTTTTCCTTAACTAAATTACCATCAACAAATATGAAGGCCATTGTGAAATAACTGTTAAATTAGCATCGAATTAACACTTATGGTCTAAATTCAAGCTGTAAATATAACATGAAATGGTATAGACATCTTTGCAACATTATATCCAGCAATTTGAACACACAGAGTATTTTATAGGAGATATTCGTCATTTATGGAATTATTTTTCTGGAATATAAGAGTCTTCACAGCGCACCTTTCAGGAAGAGAGAGCACTAGAGAGGCGCGTGACTGATCCGCGCGCGCTCACACACGGGTCACTTGTGCTGTGTCAAACACGTTCAAGTACGGCATTGCTCTTTTGCGATTTCCCGAACAAAAACGGAAAACATAAACGGGATTATACTTATTGAACTTCGTCGGTTTCGTGGAATAAGTGGTTTTAAGCGTTTATATCGACCTGACTACGCATTGGTGAGTGTGATCCTACAGCTGTACACGACAAGTGCATTACTTATTTACAATCTGATTAAATAACACATAGAGAGGTAACCGTTCAGGAAAGTTGTCATTAATGCTTAGGGTTATTTTCAACGTCTTATTATCCGTCCTACTGTACTTTTCATAACAACCAAACGAGCTCTCAGGTTGTCTTAGAAGTGATTGGTTGCTTATTGTAAATAAAAATACAGATTCAAGATGCCATGAGATGTTTTCTTAAAACAACAACAACAGCAGCAGCAAAGTTGCGTTTTATGTACAAATATTATGTTAAAGTGTATATGACTGTATAGAGCCATGATAATACAGCATGTCTGTTTTTCCCATAGGTTTCCTTGTGATGTTTCTGGCTGTAAGGATGGCTTACATTCAGTATATTCTCGCTGCTCAAGAGCAGTCATCTACTTTATGTAGCATAGGACCATAAATTAAAAGCTCAGTGGGCTAAATGTTCAGACCATATGTGTAAAAGCAAACCAAAAAGTGATAAGGTAAACCAAAAGCCAAGTCCAAAGTTTAATGAACCGAGAGAATCATGACATTGTGAATCCAGATTATAACACTTTTCTGGAAGCTGGACGAAAGCCATGGGCAAGGAGCAGGACCTTC